TTAATGACGCCCTAACTAATTAGCAAAACCTGTCTAAGCCATTGTTGTCTTTGATTATTATCATCTGTGATTGTCTGGATCCAGGCCCTGACCCCAGCCCACTGTCTGAATTCCCAGCTTAACCTTAGACCTGTCCTTATCAACAGACCAGACTGGCAATTTGGACTCTTGGCTGAGGCTGGGTATCGTTACCAGACCTGCCATGCCCTGCCTCCCCTGCTGTCATGCTGGCTCCCAGCACCTCATCCCATACCCTGTCTTGCCCCTGACTCCTTCCATCAGCTGACCGTATCAGCAATATCAGTATTTTTCTGTCATGTTGATGGTTAGTCTTCTACCCTCTCATATTTTCCCGTCTGTTTTTTCAACTTCTTAATGTCTCTTTCTCTGTATCAGATATGAAGCTCAGAAAATCCTCCTAGGTATCTTATATCTTGGAGTTTCTCCACAAGTACCAGAGACTTCATCCCAGCAATCTATGACATGGGAGCTCATGCAGAGTGCATGTCTTTTTTCAGGGTCTCCAGGCCTGACAAAGTGAGTAGACTTAATCTTTGCCAGAAACCTCAAGTAACAAATCCATCCTGAACCTAAGCTGTACAGTTTCCACTGGGACAGAGAAAGAACTCAGTCAACAGTGAGGTGTTGAAAACACTGTCCATAAAACAATTAGTAACTTGTGAAGAACTTAAGCTTGAAAAGAACAAAAGGGACTAGGAAAAAATATAAATAAATAAATAAATAAAAGGAAAGATTTTTGGCACAAAACTGAATTGAAGAGCTATGATAGAGACAAAATATGTCAGTAGCACAATAGCTCTGTAGAAATAAAAGAGACAATAAATTGGCTTCTGCTCTGGAAACAGGGATGCTGAGAAATGTTCCAAAACACTGAATGAGGTTGTTCTGAGGATTCCCAAAGCTTTATTGCATTTATATATATATATATTCATATATATATTTTAAGATTATTTGCCCTCACTGCTGTAAACTTATTTAAAACTTGCAGGGAGCCAGCTTACAACCTGTATCCGGCAGACTCCTAGGGATCCCTGGCATGCTTTTAGAAGCTCCTGAAAGGGAGCTGTTGTCAGTAGATTGCAATCTGCCACATTTATTTTTTGAGTTTATAATTTGAGAAAGGTTGGAAACCACAGCACAGACACCGTATGAATGTTCCCTTGTATATGTATGGTTGGTAAGACACTTTGTAGGTTATTAGATAGTTTTTCTCACTGATTAGTACTCCTAATGTGTTAAGATTTGAAAACACGTGTATATATTATGTCAGTGTAAACAGTTCCTCTACAATAAAGTCACACTTCATAAGCAGTTTCAAGTTTTAATGGATGATTTCAAAAGTCTTTGTCTTGAATCAGGGCAGATCATCCCTGGGGAAGCTTTTAATACAGTTTTGATACTGTTGGACTTGCTTAAATTAACTCATGCTTCCAGTCAAGTGAAATGACCAGTGATAGCTTCTGATCTAAAAATCCCTCAGTACGCTTGCATGTGGTTTCTTCAAACAATAGCATGGCTACGCCTAATGCAAAAAAAGCTCAGCAGAGGTTCAAAGTATTTCTGCTCCTTTTCTGCTGGTCACTCTGAATTGCTGACTGCTAGAACATCTGAATGGCAAAGCAGGCTGAGCATGAAAACAATTGTATGAAGAAAGTAGTAAAATAACTTTTTTTTTTTTTCCCACAGTTGTGCTGCTATGGATGTGATACTCACTTTTTCAGACTTCCTTTGAAACAATGCATTAATCAATGTACCTGTTGAAAGATACTGACTGACTTTGTGTTGGAGATTTTGCCATTTAGAACTGGAAAATCTCCTGAAAAATTGGAAAAGAGTATTAAAGATTTGCTTTGAATTGACAGAGTAGAGATTTGCAAAAGAGCTTGGCCTCTCTGGGTGTATCTGCTCCTTAGCCAAGTAAAACAGGAGCTGAGAGGAAATTCATCTGTGGCCTATAAATACATTCCAGACGACACAGTACAGGAAAAGAAGAGCTTCTCATGAGCGTGTTTGCTCTGGAAATTAGAAGGTTACTTAATCCTTGCAGCAATGATGCTTTGGAACAACCTTTCACTAGAGCAATGAGGCAAAGCCATTTTCAGATGAGGCTTTATTAGCTGGAAGGCCCATCCCATGGCTGTCTGACAAGAAATGACAGGGTGCCTGGGCCTGCTGGCGGACTCCCTTTCAAAACACAGCCTTACTTGTCACGGTGGGAATTCTTGGATGCCAAATATTCTGGAAAATCTGGCTTTTAGTAGATTTCTGAAAGTGACCAGAGGCCACTCATTAATATCAACAAAAGGCTGAGCACTTCATATCTGCTTTTCAAGTGGTATTAACACAAGGCACCCAGAAGGTAAGAAATAGTCTGCGGATAATTGATAAATGACAACAGATTGATTTGAATAAAACAATTTTATGAAGGATTTTCCTTAAATAATAAAAAATAAAATCAGAATAAACAATTACCCTAATGATACCTTACTCGGGCTTGCTACCAGTCTTGTTACTATCCCTTCCAATTATCAGTTTATTACAGGATACAGTCTTCATCTCGTACATGGTCTTCTGCAAGCCACACTGACATTCCAAGCTCAGGCTAAGGGTTGCCATTACCCAAAATTTCACAGTAAATGACAGTAATTACGGCATCCGTAGAGATGGGTGGCATCATCTTGCCCAAGGGTGCACTGGGGCTAACCCCCATCAACCAGAGGTTGGACTGTGCCCTGGAGAAGCACTTAGGGTGATGGTGGAAAACAGCATTGAACCGTGGGGTGTAGACTCCATATAACTGCAACGTGCATGGGAGCAGAGAGGAGCTTTGTTTTGCTTTCTTTTCTGGCACCATAAAACTAAAAGGCATTGAGCAAACAACTGCCTGACAACTTTACTAACATTTTGTTTTCCTCCAGACTTTCTTCTCTCTCTGTGCCATTTTTAAACTTGTCTTAAAAACACCTTGGTGGTCATGATCTCAGACTTGTTTTTGAGTATCTGTTCAGGAGCTGGTACAACTTGGGAGCTAAACAAGACAGGACCTTATTAAGGACATTGAACTGCATCACTATGCTTCTCTCCCTCGTGAGATGCTTTTGATTACCTTCCTGAAATACAGGTTTCACAAGGAACTCTGGCACAGAAGTTTGTCTGGCAAAACTAATTGAGGTGAAATGATCCAATTAAGAAACACACTGCACTTTTCCATTTCCAGTGGGAAACCTTGCTATGATTTATGTCCTGTAGGAAGAGTTTGCAGACTTAGAAAGAATCCTCCTTATATTGAGGCTGACAACTCACAGATTCATCCATATTTGGCAGTCCCCAGAACCAAATGCTGGCAGAGAGAAAGGATAAGCATTGTTCAAAGCCTTTGACAAAAGAGTTCATCTTCCTCAGCTTCTCCAGCTAATGACTAGCTTTCAATTTACGCGTGCATGCCTACTAATATAGCTGAAAGCATTACGTTTATCATCGTTTCATGTAGCAAAAGAGGATGACATCCACACCACCCAACATGTAGCACATGTCCTGCTGTGGCTCACATTGATCTAAAGCAAAAGCCTGACAGTTCCTCCGGACTATTCTGCTGAGGAGAATCCACCTTCACAATGAAAGTCCATAAGCAACAGGAGGACAGACACAGAACTCACTCAAAACATAAACTCTGAACATTTGAATGCGTCTCTGCTAGCAGGTTCCTCTAGCAGAAAAAGTTTTCCCAAATCCTGATGCTTAAATGTCTCCTGCTGGCAACCAGCTTAAACCCCCAGGCCTTCAATTTGTGAGTTCACTACCAAAGTACTTCTTTAAGTTCTCAGCTGAGAATTTTCCAAAGGAGAGGATACGCCTATATGGAAATAAAATAGAGAGATGCCACCGTTTTTCCAGCTAAACCATTTCGGGTACCTAAATCTGCATGTCTAAAAGAAAGAATTCTCAGCAAGGCAAATTTTCTCCTTTCACAAGTAAAAAGCTGATGGAGACAAACAGGTCAGCTGAGCAACACCTAGGACCATTGCCCAAGTGCTTTACTAGTCTTTGAAGAATGTATTTCTCTTAAATAAGGTATATTATTAAAAGGGAGAGAAAGAAGATAGGTTGGATTGCACATTCTATCTTTATAAACCTTACTCATATCTGATGTTTTCTGGATAAGAACTTACTGCATACAGTACTTCTACATGACCACTTATGGCTTTTATTGCACAAACCGTTACCGTGCAACATGAAAGAGCACTTGAAAGCAACTGATTTGTGTTCCATATGTGATTCATTTGTATTGCCTTCACCATATTCCATTACTAAGGCAGCACATTCTTACTGATCTGTAGGAGTTGACAGTGCCACCTTCTCTCCTTCTTTCCCCTGCAGAGATTTATCTATGCAGGTTGATCTAATGGCTTACTGCTATTCAAACACTTCGCATTTGTTCCGTAACCTGTAACCGCATGAACCACCCATTCAATTTACAGTAGCTCTGGCCCACATTCAGGCTTTTCTACAAGCCAATTTGATTCATGAAAGACATGGAAAGCTGTATTCTCCCTTCCCCGTTTTTGCATTTTTTTTCTCCTGTTTTATTGCATTAAATCAGACCATAGGAGTCAACCAAGCAGCAGGAACAGCACACAGGCAGCAGCTTTCTGAGCAGAAATAGAAGTACTGATTTCCAGCAGCAGTGAGCTGATAACTTGGCTTACTGCATCCTAAGAAAACATACTGAGACATCAGAACAATCATGTGAACATGCCTCATCTATACAGCTCAGAATAAGATTAGTTTAACTTCCGAAGACCAGAAGTGTGCAAGGCTATCACTGAAGGAAGAAAGCAAGCACCGACTGGTGTAATTATTGTAACACAGGGCTGAATGCGGGGAAAACCAGAAGACACCAGATTTAGGAAGTAGAGGTAGGAGTGGTTTCCACACAAATAACTTTATTTTCCTAAATACAGCAATGAAAAAGCAAACTCTTAAAGGAGGAAAAAGAGAGTTTTATGTGTATATATTTAATTAAAATACTTTTTCTAAGACAAAAATCATTTACATTCTGATAACTCACATTCAGAAATAAATAAAGGCAGCAGGGCATAACATTCAAATGAATATCTAGTAAAAGGTAGTAACATTTTTATTAATAATAAGGAATACAACACTGCAATATTTAATCTTGAATTTGTATATACAAATGCCATATCCTACACAGCAATAAATCAAGACATATACACCGTAGGAGCATGTACAATAATTTCTATTAAGTTGAAAAAGTAGGAACCATACGTCATGAAAGTCTCCAAACTGGTAACACAGAAAAACTCCTCTGAGAGATAAACAACAAACATTGAAATAGCAACAACAACAACAAAAAAAATCTCAAAAAGAAATACAATTAACAAATAGAAATCATGATGTATGATTACCTCCCCAAAATATCCACTCATTTATTTTGCTCTAAGATAGATTACACAGCACACAGAAAAGTTATTATATTTCAGTACAGTACTAAAACGCAAGCTTTTGCAATTTGGTCCATTTACATTTTGCTGATTATTTTAGCCTACCACATTGAAAGGAAAAGTCGTGTGTTCCTCAATCTTTGGATATAAAAACCAGTGTAACTACATTCTTCGGCACAAAAGCAAGATTTTGAGAAATGTCTGCCTTTTTTTTAAGCACATTTAGTTTTCATTCATGCAAAAACTGTGAATTAATCCCATTCCAAATGAGCATTTTATCATAAAATTTAAGTAGTCAATTGATTAGATTACAGAACGATGGAAAAACTTATTTCACACGATACCTTGCTACTGAATTCTACTCAGTTAATCAAAATTAAGCTAACCTTAAACATTTGCCTTTTCAGAGATGCAGGCTTAACTTTCTATTCAGAAAAGCTAAAAGACAAGCAAATTTAAGAGAACACATCTGGAAACTATACTTACTCACTTTTACATAAGAACTTCAAACATTTATAAAGCTACATGTAACCTCCAAAGAACACAGACACTGAATTGTCAAACAACCTACAGGTAACCACCGCAGACCTGATAGCAGTACAAAAGAAGAATGAGTAACATCATCGCACTTTCAAATTCTTGTATTTTCTAAAGCCTTAAGTATAATTTAGAAGTTGCAGCTCAAACATGTAGAAATCTTGAAATGAGTAAAATAATTTGGGTTTAAAATATTATTACTCTGGGTTAGCCATATACTATATAAATACAGATCGGAATTTTACCTAGGGGAAATGTTTTATTGAGGTAAGGACAGATAAATTCAACAGGTTAATATCTCTGAAGAAGCGGGGAGAATCTTCCAGCAAACGTTCTGGCATTGTAAAACTGTGCCTTAGGTACTGTACTTAATTGAAAAAATAGATTGTTTTTGGCAAGTAAATTGCAAATAAATCACGTGTACAATCAGAAACAAAATACATTCACTCTCTGAAGTTACACAGCCTTCCATCAACAACTGAAAGCACATTACAGAGTACGCATATTCTCTTCTTTTAGTAATAGGCACAGAAGTCTCCAGTCTCCGTATTTATCTTTAAATAAATAAAGTCATTTTTAAACAGAATCTATTTTTCCCATATCTGATACTTATTCTCAGGACTCTATAGAACTATTCTCACATATTGTTGTACATTAATTTCAGATATAGTAGAACTATGTATACAATAAATCCAGTTTGTAAAGATTACAAATGCATCAAGCTGCCGGTAAGCAGCTTCTATATCTACATATGGTGGTGCAAGTTAGTGGTGTCATAAAGGCACTTGTCTCTCACAGATAGTACTGTCTTTTTAATCAGTTAAAAATATATATATATTTTTTTTATAGTTTAACATCCAAAATGGTTTTTACTCCTTAAAGTGGTGCAAATTGTCACTTACAGAACGATTCATTAATTCAACATGAAAGAGATAAGTGCAAAGTTTTCATAATTAAATATATCTCTATATATCAATTCAATTTAATGCCATGCTCGAAAAAAATGCCAAAAAACACGCTATAGTAGAAATGTGATTGGTGCTAGCAGCCACAAATAAAGGTAGGTACATAAAATAGTACAATCAAGCTTATTTATGAAGGTATTAAATCAATAAAACAGTGAATTGCAAAGAGAGACATATGCCATGAGTTTTTTCTAAGACATGCCTGAAGCCACACCTGAGCAGTATGAAATATATAGCACACATTTACATCATTAGGGACACCTTTAGAGCTAGCTACCTAATTTTATAAAAATAATTTCAAAATGTTCATTAATTTCAAAGTCAATTCTGTTCTCATCAAATGTGAAAAGACAAGTCAAAAACAGATAAAACAGCAAAATTTAAAAAGACACAGAATTAGCCACTAAGTCAAGTTCAGTGCAGTTTTCAGGTACTTATGGATGGCAGTGTGAAATCCTCAAAATCCAATTTATCTGGTCAGTACATACCCATAGACTTTCCTCTCAAGTCTCAGTAGTTTAAAGCAAAAATATGAAAGAGGTTCCACCAGCAGAATACACGTTTTTGTAAATCATAAGTCTCAGGTCTTACAAAAAAATAGGCCTAAGTGGCTTTGCCTATGTAAATGCTAATTTGATGTTGGCATTATAGTTCTGTTAAGTAAGAAATCTAAAGAGGTCTAAACAACCAGAAAGGTGTGATGGATGGAATACATCAAGTACAAACCAAAAGCCAGCAGGTTCTTTGGCATTTAATACTTTCCATCATAACAGCACATCCAGACTGCTATGAAGTTGCTGGAGAGAGCTTCATGCTTGAACACTAATTTTGGTGTCCTGTCTCTTTTAAATAGTTCTGCCAGTACTGCACCATAAGGAGTTTTCTGCATCTTTGACAAATCTGCATTTTCTGAACATTGCACAAGGTTATCAAAATGAAAACAGGAAAAAAAAAAAGCCATGTGATCAACTATTAAGCTGCTCCTTCAGAGAACATTTCTTTGCTTATAGCAGTGACCAGAATTGCTGGTGTACTGACAGTTGCCATGGCAAATGGGTGACTGCGTGGGAGAGCACACATATAGCCAAGTCAACATTTTATGCAATCTCCGTGATTTAAGCAAGCATACAACAAACAGCTTTTATTATGTGCTGCCACTGAAACTTTCAGTCTAGATAAAGTGCCAAAGGAAAAAAAAATGTTATTTTATGTTAGACCATGGCTGTTTCAATATTCCCACTCATCTGTTTTCATGTCCAGGTAGTAAAGAATATTCTGTGCCAGCTTTACTGCTTGCTTCCTGGCAGCCTTACACCGCTCATCACCTTGCGGATCAACAGCATCAAGTGCAAGAAGTTGTTTTGTAAGGAGTTCTTCCAGTCTCATGTAATTTTTATCTGTTCTGTTTCCATCAAATGAAATCACCTCCTGCTGAATTTGAGACAAGCTTCCAAGAACAGTCCAAACCGCCCTGTGAGACTGAGGTTCTGCAGCAGTTTGCTCTGGATACATTTGCCTTTTTCCGAGTGCTTCCTTTAAGTCAATGTACGTTATGAGAGCTTGCACTTCTATGACTGCTCTTCTCCTGGCTTCTCTAATACAAGGGTTTTTTCCTGGACTCACTTCATCTAACTGGGCAATTAATCCCTGCAGTTCTGCTTTGGATCCCAAATACAAATCAGAAGCATTCTCTGTTTTTAAAAGTAAGGAATTAACTTCCTTCATTTTCTTGCGGATCTCTTCAATTTTTAGAATGGACTGATTTTGTGCCAAATCATAAGCATGTGTAGAATTTGCTTCTTCTTCCAAGTCCAGGTATTTTTGCAATTTATTGATCTCTTCCACTACTTCCTTTCTGTAATTTCTTATTTCCGTGCGACCACAGACATCTAAAGCATCCAAATCAGCAATAAGGCCTGTAAGCACACAGGATAAATGCCTGCAGGTATCATTACTACTCACTCCCATTAGAAGCGCAATAAGAGTTCCTCTCGCTTTGTTCACCTCACACATTACAGAGTTAATTTTGGAGACAGAAGGATGCGCATCATTAGAGAGTGGCAGGGAGAGTTGCTGCTTCATGCAGCTTTCTATAATCTCCTGAACAGCACATACTTTGGTCAGCGTGCGATATCTCGCTTTGCGTAAAGAAACTTTCCCTCCAGTTTTCACCTGGGTAAGCCTCAGAATGATGTCCTGAATGCCTTCTTCAAACTCATCGTTGATGCAGTTGCCCCCTTTGTAGAAAGGCGTAATCTCGCGCTCCACAAGTGCCTGCGCCTCCTTGAATATCGCCTCAATCTCCAGCCTGCGCGGATGGTTGGCGTTTTGCTCCAGCTCCTTCAGCAGCCTCTCGGTCTCCTGAGCAGCTCTCTTCCTGGCTTGCTGGATGTCCCCTTTCCCCTCGGTGTCTACGGAATCGATTTCAAAAAGCTGCTTGGTGAGCGACCGCTCCAGCTTCTTGTAATCCCGGTCGGTGGACAAACCGCTGAAGACAACCACCTGCTGTTCGATCTCCTTCACCTCCTTCTGGATTTCGTGCAACCGTTTGATGGCTGGGTGTTGGTTCCCCATGTCCATTCTCCTCTCCCGGCCGCCGTCAGACGAACTGCAAGGACAGGAGACCCGCGATCAGCCCCCACCCAGCACCTGGGCGCTGCGGCCGCCTTAAAACCCCTGCAGCCAGCGGGGCTCAACCCCCCAACCGAGCCTCCCCCGCTCCTCCCGGCCCGCTGCCGAGGCCTCACCGCGGCCCTCCGGGCTCCTGCCCCGTTCCTCCCTCCCTTCCCCGCCCGCTCCGGGAGGTACCGGGGGAGGGGGGAACCGAGCTCCGCCGCGCAGCGCTCCCCTCCCGGCCCAACCCGCCGCCGCCGCCTCCTCCCTCACCCGCCCCGGCTGAGGCACCCGCGGCCCGGCGCGGCGCTGCGCCACGGCGGCGGCAGCGAAAGGGGAGGAGGAGGAGAAGGAGGAGGAGGAGAAGGAGGAGGGCTGAGGGCCACGGCCCCTTCCCGCAGCACCGCCCCCAGCCCTGCCCCTGCGCGAGATGGCGGCCGCCAGGGCCGGGCGGGCGCTGAGGGCGGCGGGGGGGAGCTGGTTTCGCTGCTCCTCCTCCTCCTCTTCGGGCGGCGGAGCGGTAAATCCCCAGCCCGCAGCCGCCCGGGGGGCTGTGAGGGGAAGGAGGGGAAGGGAAGGGTCAGGGGGAGACCGCGGTGGGGCTGGGGGGAGGCGGGATGAGAGCCCGCGGTGCCCCCCGGGTGTCCGGGAGGTGATTGCTGAAATCTGAGGGGGGTGAGGGGTGAAGGGTAAAGGGGGCAAAATGCTTCCCCAGCTGGAGGGGGGGAGCCCCCTGCTCTGGAGCAGAGCCTAAAAACCTGCGGGCAGGCACCGGGGGGGCTGGCACACGGAGCAGGTCCTGCCGGCGAGTGTCCTGGAGCATCTGTGGTACAAAAAAAACACGCGGGGAAGTCCTTAAAATCGTGATTTATGGCTGTGGGGGAAAGAGTTGAAGGAGTCCTCTATGGGATAGATTTGTACGTAAAGGCAGAATTTAAATATATCGCAAATTTCAGTCGAGGTAAACAAAGGCGTGTAACTTCTGAACGCGTTACAATTACAATTTTTAAGGCTGTGTGGAGACTGTTGCACGGCTGTACGGGGTTTTAGAGCTTGCTTCGAGTTGTGATGTCCACAAAAACGCTGCTGAAGTGCTGCTAATAACGACCCCCGTCCGTGTTTTCAAGGGCCCGGGTTTCCGCCCGCCGCCGCACTCCCGCCACGACTGGATCGGGCCCCCGGACCGGCTGTCCAACCTGCGGCCCGTCATCTTCCATGTGCCGCGGGACGAGTCCGCCCTGGAGCGGCGCCTGCGGGAGGCCCGGCAGGACGCCCAGGCCTGGAACCAGCGCTTCTGGGCGCAGCAGAACGCCGCCTTCCAGCAGGTGAGCGGGGCCGCTGGGCGGCGCTGGCAGCCTGCGCGTCTGGGTGGTGATGCTCGGCTGTCAAAGGGGTTGGGTGGCTGGGCAGGAGGTAACCTTCAGCTGTGCCTCCTTGGCACCAAAACCTTGCGATTTCTAGTATTCAATTCTGCCTACAATCATTTATTATCTCTCACTCTTCCTACATATTTTTTTTAAGATGTGCAGTATCTACCTGGAAATGATATTTTGTCACTGTTTGCAATATTAACCTCCAAATCTCTTACAAAACTACAGATCCCATTTCCAGAAGTATTCAATTGCTATCTAGTGATGTTTGCCCTCTGTTTTTTCTTACCGTGCACTGAAAGCATCAGGCTGTAGCCACCTTGCATGCACAGCCTGTGTGTGACTGGAGCTGCTGTTGAAAATGACGCTGCAGATTTTCTTGCTCTGTTTCAGGAGAGAAATTAGATGTAATCACGAAGGGTAAATGAAAGGTCATGCCCTGCTGCCTGGCTAAGCTAAAAGCAGGAACATGTTTAGTTGTGGTCTGCCTTTTTTCTGATTGCACTATTGGTTAGGAGACACTGAATTTTGTCGGAAGAAGAATAATGGTTCAGAATTCACTGTTATTTCTGATGGTCTTCGATCATCATATCCTTCCAAAACTTGTGAAGATCTTGGGGAGGGGAAATGAATTTTTTTTAATTTTAATTCCATAGAACTGCTTATTAATCTTGAAAAAATTATGTAAAGGGAATTACTCTGTTTTCATGTAAGTAACTTCAATTTCTAAGTCTGTGTGTTTTTTCTGTATGCAGAAATTCTCAGTTAAACTGTGGGGACTAGCTGGGTTGTACATCTTTTGTAAACTTAAGGTTTGGATCTAGCTAAACAATACCAAAGCTCAGTTATACCTTTATTCCAAAAATAAGTTGCATGTGTTTCAGCAGTGTGTTTGCATGAATCAATTGATGAATGCAGCTAGCAGGATCTAAGTGAATATCAGACTGTATTGGGCACTAAGTTGTTATGTGATTTAAAAACAATGGTTAACTTTAAGGTATGAGTACCTCAAATTCTAATGTGGAAAAACGTGTTTTAGGAAAAAGAAGAATTTATTTATTCAAGACTGAAAGCCAAAGGTCTGGCAGTGAGAGATGAAACAGGTTAGTGGGATCGCCGTGTACAGTTCAGGATGTGTTTTGAATTTCGTTTAATTCTCAGTATTGTTAGTTTGTGCTCTTTGTGTTCTGTCACAAGTAATTCTTCAGAGCAGGATTTGGAAGTGCTTTTTGGGAGCATGCTTTTGGGGGGTGAGATCTTCTCTTGCACTGTTAATCCTCTAATTCTTGCGTGCCCAGCATAAGGGAACATGACAAAATCTTAATCAAATAATTTTAATAATTTTTCAATATCAGGAGGAATGGGTTTTCATCTTTCACATCTCCTTAATGTGGTGAGCAAGCTGAGCTAAACATACAGAGTTTGTCTCAAGTGCATGTTACAGTTTGGCAGATGAATTCATACTCTTCATTCAGGTCCATTGTGTATTCAATTAATACAGTATTTTTCCTTGAGGGGAGAGTAAGACAGCTACTAAGAAAACAACAGCTGTTCTCTGACCTTCTTTGCCTGATCACAGTTGCTGTAAAATACTTGCCTCACTAATTCCTGATGTGAAATAGGAAACAAGATGCTTTCGTTATACAGTGAGCTGGCCATTGTAGTATTAGTTTGAACACTTTGTTTATAGAATCATGATTTATTTGACTTCAGTAAAGCATCTGCTCTGATGTTCTATACATTGCAGACCATTATGTTTCTCTTCTGTTCATCCCAGTGATCAGCGTGTGGTTGAAAAACAAATTAACTCCTGTTGTTAAGAAAAAGCTTATTTTATATTGCTGTTTTGTTTTTTCTTTAATTTCTAGGATTAAAAAAAAAAGCTTGTACATCCTTTACAAATAAAATTATTGGCTGCACGTGTTGGATAGCTCTTTTTGTTCTACAACACAACTGCGTGCATGTGCATATATATAAATAAAAGTAAAAACTATATACATGTGTAGTTGGAAAAAATTATATAAGAGAATCTTCAGTTTTGCTGCTACCATTATGAAGAAACAAATTAACTATAGCTGTTAAGTAGGCAGCTTTCAAATACTATTATGATGAATTTATCCCATAGTATGTAAATCCACTGTATATCTTTAAATATTGACAAATGATACTGATCATGATGATATTGATCAATAATACACATTTCAGTAGTCAGTCTCAGGTGCTTTAAAATGTATTTTGGAACAGTAACAAAAGTTGAATCTTACAGTTTTTTCTCTCATCACATCCACGTTCCCTGGGACATTCAAAGCTGACCACCAAACACTGAAAGTTTGCACAGGAATTAGAATTAAGAATATTTACTGGTTCTGTGGATGCTATTCTGTGGAATAGCTATGAATGTGCATTTCATGTACTGTGGAGAGAATACATCTCCTCTTATTTTCTGCTCTATGTGAATGGCATGTTCAAAGTCAGACGCATACTCTCGTACTTCACAAAAGAATTGTCTATCGTATCGTTAATAAATGTGACATCTCAGAACACATGCTTTTTGGTATAAGTTACTTTAAATTTAGCAATGGTAACAGAAAAAAATTGTACCTTTGAAAATATCTTGACAGTCACGAGTAGTGTTTTTTCTGTACTTACAGACCTACTTTAGACATGGAAACATAAGTTACTAAGTGCTCTTACTGGTGCTGTTTAGACTTTGGACCCATGAGAAATTAATGTTAATCAAAGGATAGATACTCCTAGATCAATTATCTTTTTTTGATCAGTTCCCTGAGTAATATAAGACCTGTTAAACATCGTCACTTTCACAAGTTACAAGGGCTTAAGAGTTACCGTGTCAGTTTCAAAATGATCAGTGGCTTTTAATCTGCTGTGTTCCCTTGAAAAACTTTATAGGGTTAGAAGACAAAAGCATAATAACATATTCAAGGTTACACAAGAACCCTGTAAAAGCAAGGAGTCAGACCTAGCTCTCCTGAATCTGAACCCAGTATTTTAATATGAAGATCGTCTTCACATTCTTATGCCAAAACTTATTTTCAGGTCAAAAAGCAACACTGAATGCAGAAGAAATGGCTGACTTTTACAAGGACTTTCTAAGTAAAAATTTTAGAAAGCATATGCATTATAACAGGTATGTAGACGGTATTTATGTTGACTGTAAGATCACAAAATCATAGAATGGTTTGGGTTGGAAGGGACCTTAAAATCATCTAGTTCCAACCCCCCTGCCATGGGGAGGGACACCTTCTGCTCGAGCAGGTTGTAGTCTAGCCAAAAGGCATAGGATCAAACTTAAAAAGTTATCATTCTTTATCATAATTGTAAAAAATAATAATAATAAAATAAAAAAATGGAAGATGTGAAACTCTCATTTATAATTTTTTAATGCTATTATTAGCATTTGACAGAAATTTGCATTATCATTTGAGTTCTTCCACTGTTCATTGTTGATTTTGTGGAGAATGGAATCTGGTGTCATTCCTTCCTGAAACTGCAGAGAGACAATATCAGGCCCTCAAGTTCTTCCCCTTATGGGATGGATATTTTTGTGCTGCCAACTGAAACTGATAAATGTTTGAGTAAAACAATTGAAATGTCTGTATAACATACTCTAGTTAACTCCTAAATTAAGTAAGGATTTCCTATCTAGTAAATATCACTTGTCTCAAGGGAAAATCATTTAGTAAGAGTAATAATTAGTATTCTTATTTGTTTTTATTATTTTGCAAGTATATGGTCAAAGTGAAATTGACTAGCTTTGTGTTTGGGAGTTTTTTGTGTGGTGAAGCCTTAGTAGAATGATCCCCTGCACTCATCCTGAATAGAACTTTGGCTACAGTTGGGTAAGCCCACAGCCACCCAGTCTCCTCAAATCTGCTGCTTTTTATGTGTCACTGTTTGTACAACAACTTGATAAACTGGATTGGGGATCTGAAACAACTGAGAAATGACTTGCAAATTCATATTACCACCCTGCAAGTAGCTGTACATGCTTGGTGAAGAGCTAGATAGGAGGAAGCAGA